AAGCGTCTTGTAGTCTGGCAGAAGTTGAGGTCCTTGCTGCCTCTATCATGTTGATGATGTGTGATGATGGAGGCATAAAGGACCTCTGAAGCATTGGTAAACGTGCAACAGACTACATCGTGCTACAACTCAGAAGACGGCCCTCTTCGGATTCACCGCTCAAAAAATCTCAGATTGTACTTGGTATGTTGGTTGTGTAAATGCATTTATTTAATAAGTCCCTGTCTGACGCGGGATGTAAAGGTGTTCACAACGAATGAAATTTGAGTACCGTTTTAAAAGTGAACTGCAAAAATTGCAACAGCGCTAAGAAGGGAGATAATATTGTTTTATTTATTTCCAGATCTCGTAGAGCTGCAACAGCTTGGCTTCATTTACTTTGTCTACCTGTTCCTGTATTCTGGTCTGGAGTTTACGTTAACGTTTCTGACGCACCACACTTTTAACTACACTTCAATGCAACAGGGGTGGATGTTCTTTGTGATCGGTCTCACCATGGCCGTCATGCAGGGTGGCTACGTTCGCCGACTTCCAGAGCACAAGATCAAACCCACGGCAGTTTTGGTTAGTACTTCGGTAACTGCGCGCTCACTTGTCAGTGTCAATTCTTCCTGTCATGATACCAAACATCTCGCCCTTCGTGTGAGATTTAAGGTTTTCACAGCAGTGAGAATAATAATTTGGGATTTTTATGCTGTGTAGTTAAATACCAATATTTTGAAGAAAAATTTTCAGCCCTGAAGATTTAGACAGTATTTTGCTCTGAAACTCTAGGATCCACCAACAAATATACGTGGCATCCAAATATGAAGATGACCACCATTTTATTCGTCATTTATAAGTTTCATGCCAAGAAATTTCGTTTTTATTATTAATATGAATATGGAACCAAAAATCAGGAAATATTCTAGTTCGAAGATTCGACCTGTTTCTTTATAGTTTGGCGTGCAATTAACATCGTAGAACAGATTCCGTTTTTACTACGAAGTCAATCAGCAAATATTTTGGGTTCTGCTAAGGTATTTTTGGTGGAAGGTCATTTATGTGGAAAGCAAGGGTCGTAGAATTGACCCTCGGGGAACTTCGTTAATTTTGTATTGTGTGATTCGTTTCTCAGGGTTTGCTACTTATAGTTCCTTCTTTCGTCTGTGTGGGTCTGGCTTCTTCGCCCGTACTTCTCTATATCGGACTTCTGCTGTTTGCAGTGTGTAAGTATGAAAAGTAATTTCAAAGAATGGATGTAGAAGTGCGGACTGGATTAATGTGGTTAGAGTAGAGCTGGGTGGCAGACGCACGTGAACTTCCATGTTCCGTAAAATGTGAAGGAAATAAATTCTAAAATGCTACAAATAAGTAATGTCATCTTGGGCCTGGTTCTGTCGCCATAATTACATTTATTTATCATATATTTTTCTCTGTTTTCATTTATTTGTGGCCTGAATATCCATTTTAGTGCTTTTAGTATTATATTGAATTATTTTTAACAATTTTTTTTTTTGCATGAAAATATGAGTCATTATATTTTGTTCCGATGTAATTTGCTTTGTTACAGCTACAGCGATGGTTGTGCCGTGTATGACGACCTTGGTTTCGAAGCTTGGGTCACATGACCAAAAAGGAACTGTGATGGGAATCTTCAGATCGCTTGGTGCGTTAGCCCGGGCTGTTGGGCCCATAGTTGCGAGTATAGGTAGGTTATAATCAGAATAATACGTGATCGATGATAAATATTTTTTTTCCTCATATCGCCGCAGTGATCGCAGTGGTGGTGATGAAACTGAACAGACAATTGATGATCGTGATAATTATATTTTAATGGTTTTGACTACAGCAGCCATTTAATTTGTGTTGGAAAGTGTTAGATGAGGCACTGAAAAATTATGTCCTCGGATATTTATTCTTCCCAGATACATTTTAATTTCCATATGTGACTTGTGTTGATTTTAAATTCTAATGAGTTGTAAATGAAGCCTAATTCTGCCAGCGACAAGTCTTTCGTACAGTAGTGATCGCAGTTTAGACTGCGAGCGTGAATTTCATTTTCAGTCGCCGCCTTCCGAGAAACACATTTATATTATTAACTAAATTTTGGAATATTATAAAAAAGAATATTACATTTCAAAATTTTGTGGGGTTTTGGGTTCTCGTGGTTGCAAGTACGAAAATGGCTGTATTTCCAGTTGTAGTGTCATGACGGTGCGGTAAGCAAGCCGCACGGCTCGGTTATCGCCCCGATTCTTCCTCAGCCTCTCCTTTTATCCTTTCGTTCATTTTTTCATCATAATATTCTGCCCTTTCTTTGAATTTATGACAATTTCTTCTTGTTTTTTTTTAGGGTTTTGGAGTATTGGTTCGACAGTGACTTACCTTTTGGGAGGTATCGCCCTTCTCTGGCCGTGGATGATGCTGAGGAGAACTAATATAGTTTAATTCAACATCGTATTTACGTCGTATGATTTGAGGTTTTCACATCTGAAGATTGCTGTCTTCTTCTGGTTTGTTGCGCTGCATAGTCTGGTAGATTTCCCACCGACGTTTCAGAGGTCACACTGCCTGCGTCATCAGGGCGATGAATTCATCATATTTACAGCTGTTCGAACTCGTAGTTGTTCGGGGGTTTCGGAATACGTACATTTTGTACAACAGTTTTTCTCAGTCAAGTAACAAATCCGATGGGCAGAAGAAATCGCGCGTAAAATTGTTCTTTTGGACTTTGTCCGCATTCTGAATTATAAAATTATAAAACTACAGTATTTAAAAGTTTGAATTCTGGTTCTTTTTTGCTGTAAGTTTGTGGAAGGGGGGGGGGGGCTACGTGGCATTATAACCCAGAAGATGGCCATCTTAGAAAGCTTATTTGTTGGACGCCGCTGGCTGAACTAGCTGAAAACCTGGACCTCGACCCACTTTTGAAATATGGTTTTTTTATAATTTAGATGGTGGACGAAGTCGGTAGAAAAGTTTTACCTATTTATATGTCCATCGTGATGGTCTTCGTCTTCAGTGTCTTCCACTCGACACACCGAAAGCCTCGGTGAACGTGCCACGAAGTTCTCCCGCAGACACAGGAATGGTAATTTTATCTGACAGTATTTTTATAATGGTAGTTCTGTGAGTAACAGTATTAGTGGTAAATTATGGGTATTTTCATATTTTGTATCATTTATAAATAATTTTCTGAAGATAAGAGTATATAGTGTTACTAAATGTACGAATTATCACAATTTAGGTTGTGCCAGGAACTTAAAAGCTTTCTGTGCATTGTCCGTGTTGCTTTATTGGTTAATTCGTAGAGCATACAAGTGTATTTGATGTTTTTGTAATTCAGAATCATTTATAGGTAAGTAATTATATTTATAGATAATTGTACTTATAAACCACCATACTGCTAATGGACGTTTTTCCACTTGCCGCATACAAGACGTTCACATGGAGATCATCGTTAGTGTTAGAAGATTTAATTGTGGCCTTTGGTACCAATTGTAATATGTATTTAATTATATAGACAAAATGATTTGAAGGACATTAATTTTGTAGTAGACACAAACTTCAGGATCTTTAACTTAATACTGAGTTTCATTCAATGTATGCATCAACATCTGAAGTTTTATTTATAAAAGAAGTCTAATTTGATAATATAAGATGGCTGCCTTCTGTGGCACTGTGTAGTTTGGTAGAGAAGTTTTGCTGATGTTTCAGAGGGGTTTGCTACTGCCATCTTGAGGGCCCTGCTTCAGTTATGTTGTCGAATCTTATTATAAATAATACCAAAATTAAAAAAATACTACATATGCAGTATTATATATACATCGTGAATTTTTAGGATTTCAGCAGTTCATAACCTACAAAGTATGGAGTCTCGTGTAATAAATTCATTTGATGGGCTGAGAACTTTATCTTGGTAACCGATCATATGTTTAATACTACTGTTTATGTAAAATATTTGTGTATATTTTTTACAAACGATATAAAAGTAAATAAAAAGTTTTGAGAATAAACGTTGATCATAGGTTATAGACTTCCATGTTGCTGTCTTTCATACCTGACATGGCCTACTTGACATTGTCAAACAGTGAATAATAGACGTATTTTGAACCCTATGATTTTCTTTACACTTACACAACTCTGGTATTTCGTCATCAAACCAAAACGCCACCATCTTTATGAACAGAAGAAAGGGGAACTGATTAGTCATCCATTTTGTACTGAAGTGAAAGTTAAGTGTAGATTTGAGTGCCAAATTTTTACCGAATGTGTTGTGATTTTATGCAAAAACTTTGAAGTGATAGTGGATTCCTGTTACCTGTGATTACCGGCATTGCTCGAGGTACGTGTGGTAACAGCAGTTGGTATTATTAAGTCTATAGAATATAATACATGAAATAGTCAAACCATATTAGTGACGTTTGATGTAATGTCTAGTCCTGATGGGTCGTCATGGTCTAGCCTCATTCTATCACACACGCTGGCCACTAAAAGGTACTGTCAGTTCACACGCCTGACACTGTATAAACAGCGTATATTGCCGTCAAGTTTCCTATGAATTGCACTTTATATCCAGGACAGGTGTTCTTTGATATGGGTATTGTCGACGCCAGCAGCCCTCAGTTCCGTACTGTATTGAATGCTGTTTATAACTAGAAAAACTAAGAACAACTGAAGTCAATTATATGGAGACAAATGTAGAAACGCGAAGTATATGAACGACCTTCCAAATCAGTGTCGGATTAAGAGGGTGCGATGGAAGCGGTCGCCCTGAGGCCTCCACAAAACAGAGGCCATAAAGCCAAGTTTTCATTATGGCGACAAGCGTCCAAGTAATTTTTTTTTACCGGAAACCGATTACGTGATATTTATACATTGTTTTATTATTTATAAGTTTGGCCCAATTATGCGAAGTTCCACGTAAAGACTTAAGTGTACTACGTGTTTTAATAATCAGTAGCTATTCATTCTGTATTTGTTTCGTATGATTATCAAAATAAACAGCGATTATTTCCTTGAACAGCGTTAACCAGTTGATCTTTGTAATGGTGAAGTGTCGTGTTTTCTTTGAGGTACGGACTGACTTCTAAAATATTATTCACGCGTTCTTCGGCGTTAACGTCACTGATTCGTGCATAAAACCGAAAGGGATGTTGCAGTGTTCAAATATTTCGGTTGTAGTTTGACTGATGTAGCGAACTTTCGAATTTGAGAATGCTTCCGTCTGACTGGTTCGTACCGTGGCAGCCAGTTAATTTGGATCTAAGTAGTTACAAGGTCTATGAAGCTGTGGATGATTTCTGTGTAGTTGCTGATAATGGGGTTGTCCTGCTTCCACGTCAGCTTTGTCACTCTGACGAGCTTCGTGGTTGCTGATCGACAGTGAAGGATCACTCAGTCGGTTACAGGAAATGATGGATCGCTTATAATATGACTAAATCTGCAGTTTCATTTACGAGCATGGCTGCTTTTAAGATTAAAAATTGATTTCAAATTAAATGAGCAAACGTTTCCAATTATAGGGTCGTTTCTTTATATCTTTACCCGTACGAGTATCCGATTGCTTAGTTTGTACAGAAGGAAAAATGTTTGACGCGGGTCATCACTTAACGAAGGTTGGTGCAACAAGCGACTGAGTGACGTCATGAACAACTCTCTACCCACAGATGCGTTTGCATTGCTCATTGTCCGATAAGACTGAAAATGTTTCTGATTTATTTTTCGTCATTGAGATGATAATATCGGTGAAGATAAATCAATTTTGATTATTTCTAATTATGTTATGTCATGTAGCGTGCGTAAGATTAAAAATTAATTCGACATTTTGGTTGAGAAGCCTGAAAGGAAAAGACCTAGACGTAGATATAAGTATAATATTAAAATGGATGTCAGGAAAAATGCTTGTAGGATGTGGATTGGATTTATTAAATTCAGGATAGGGTCCAGTGGCGGTTACTTGTGAACACGGTAATGAACATTCTGGTTTCATTGAAGGCAAATAATTTACTGATTGGTTCAGCGTGCTGTTAGGTTCTCAAGAAGGGGTATCCATCATGGAGTTAGTTAGTTGTTTATTTATTTGAGGGCCACAAATGATAGGTGAGGTTTGCCAGTGTCATTTATATTGTAAACAATTTCTTCTGAAACTTTTTTTACGCGGAAGACATTATTTTATCGATCTCGTTGTACATTGTATTTATTCAAGTATGGATATTTTTTTTTTATAATTGGTTAAAAAAAAATTATAATTGCTTTGTTGAAAGTGGACACTCTTGTGCCTCATTAATCACTGGTACGAGATTACGCGATGCCTAGTTTGACAACAGTTCGTTCAAATGTTATTTCTGATAGCGCACTCTTAGCTTCTACTTTAATGGAATATTACTTGGACAAACAGTTTAATCTAAACGCGAAGTTTTTGAAGTGCGTTAATGGACTGGTAGTCGAATTGATTTCAACCGGAATTTTTGTACTGCACAGTTCGTATTGTTAAATCGTAGGCCATACTGAGGTGGTTTTCAAAAATTAGTTCAGGTAGTAAGTCAGCAGGCTATATTATACACGTATTTCAATTAAATATCTTTGTAGAAAAATTTTAAACTTGTGAAAAGTTGGACTTTGCCCTAAGCCAGCTTAAATCTGTCCAAATCACATTACTCTTGATAAAATGGAAATCGAGAATGTAAATAAACTGACATGTCACGCCCTGCTTAAAATATGGATTACGAAATAATGATACAGTTTGGTTGTGAAAATGAATTGTATTCTTGATTTATTTTGGTTAACGTTTGTAGCGCAGTCACGAATATTTAAAAAAAAAAATCAGGGCTGGTAACTTAAGGCTTTCAATGTGTCCAGAAGGAAAATGTTTTCATACAACCTTTACACTGTAAAGCCATTCTTGCTGTATTTCACACACAACTAGTGTCAGATCAAATGTAACAAAGGATCACCTCGGAATATTTATTGGTGATAATGAACTGTCGAAGACGTCTTCATCAGTTAATGTGTTACAAGACGTCGTATCATCTGACTGGCATCCGTCGGTTATAGACGTTGACTGAAATTAAAATAAAAGTGTAATGAATTTACTGTTTATATTAAAACTTCATATTGTTGTGAAATACTCAAAAACTGCAAGTTATTTAATGGTTAGTATTCTCTTACAAGTGTTATAACAATGAAATTATGATTTTGTGTCACGCTAGGCCCGAAGGTTCTCAGTAATGACGCTAGATGGCAGAAAGTACTATCTTGCAGGTGCTGCTGCTATTAGGAAAATGTGGTAATTATTTCTGACATGTGATGAGGTCCAATATGTGAATCATCTTTGATAATTGTAATGGAACCCGGACAGAACGGCTTTGATAAGATCTGTTTTACGAGATTGCAGACGCTCGTGTCTTATACAAGAATTGAATTATGTAATTGGTGTGTCTTGTCACCGTAGTGACTTTAATACTCACTGCATTTGTTCGTCTCCATTTTGCCCTTCGGTTCTGGAACCATGTTTTAACCTACGAAAAGAATACATCGATTCTTAAAGGAAAAATATGACATGTATAAACTTAATATTCAGAGAAAATTATTTGTCTTCTGAGGGGGAAATTTTTATCTAAACTGAAACGCCAATAATTAATAAAACAAAAGTGAAAATATTGCTTAAATATATATAAAGTTTAATGTAGGTTAATTGGTTTTTTAATAAATTCAAATAATTGCCTGTCTAAATTTTTTTTAAAAAATATATTCTTTACATAGAACTCTTTTAATTACTACTCAATGAGTAAGTAGAAAAGTGGAACAAAGTCATTACCGTGTTCACAAAAGCTCGCCATTAGACCCTCTCTTGAGCATGCAATTCCTACTCCCCGCTTCACACCCCACCCACCTTAGCTTTTTGATTTGGCCACCCTTCTAATATTAGGGAAGAATATAAATTATGAAGCTTTTCATTATATACAGGATGTTTCAAAAATATATATATACATTCGTGGCACAGCTGACTGTCAAGCGGCCACCGTATTATAATGTGAATACATGTTTTTGGGACAGCCTGTAGTTTTCCCTTCGCCTTTTTACACCCCCTCCCCCAAAAGGATCAGATGTGAGCAAAGTAAAGTTATTATTGCCTGTCGATCGGTGAGCTTCAGCTGAGTTGCCAGATGGCGTCTTTCCTCAGGGCTGAGGTATTTGTGTTGACTGAACCTCCTCTCCAAAGTTGAGGTCTGCTGAGCGGAAAACCTCACTTGGCCGCCTTTCCTCTTGTTGTGGCCCGGAGGTCTTGTGAGGACGGTTAGCGAATAGGTAGGCACCACTGCCCAGCACCGCCCGAAACCTCCTACACAGGTTACACATATACAGGGTGTCCAAAAAAAGACGTATAAGAACATTCAGTGAATGAAGCAAAGACTTTACATAAAATTAACAAATGTGACGTAGATATTAAAATTACCGCCGTTAACTTCGTGGCACAGTTGACAGCGGTGAGATACTGACTGAAAATCAGTCACTTTATTATAATGTGTTTCTGTGTTTTTGGGACACTCTGTATACGTAACTAAAAATCCACGCCATATTTTCGTGTTATATTCAGATATCAAAGGATGTCAAGTGTTGAAATAAAATGAGTAACTCGAGAAAATGCGAAATGCTTACCTAATCACGTTGGAAATATTCTTTAAGTAAAACAGACAAAGGGTTTTGTATTTAAATATGTCGAACATGCATATTTTAACGATTATTCAAGAAACACATATACAGGGTGTCCAAAAAAAGACGTATAAGAACATTCAGTGAATGAAGCAAAGACTTTACATAAAATTAACAAATGTGACGTAGATATTAAAATTACCGCCGTTAACTTCGTGGCACAGTTGACAGCGGTGAGATACTGACTGAAAATCAGCCACTTTATTATAATGTGTTTCTGTGTTTTTGGGACACTCTGTATACGTAACTAAAAATCCACGCCATATTTTCGTGTTATATTCAGATATCAAAGGATGTCAAGTGTTGAAATAAAATGAGTAACTCGAGAAAATGCGAAATGCTTACGTTGGAAATATTCTTGAAGTAAAACAGACAAAGGGTTTTGTATTTAAATATGTCGAACATGCATATTTTAACGATTATTCAAGAAATATAAGTGGGTTTTTGTTATAATTTGCATTTATTCAGGAACCTACTAATACATTTTTATAAACTGATTTGTTTATCGCATGAAGTTTTACGTTCTTCCTGTTGGAAAATGTCGTGATGACCTACGAATTACAAGTGTTATTACTGCTCTTAATTTTTGTTGTAACCATCTGTTTCCTTGTTCCTTATATTTCCGTCAATGAACTCAGAATTTAAAAAGTAGCACCGAAGTATCTCGTATTCACCGCAGTTATGAATTCAAGTGAGAAAAGGCTTCCGTAAAGAGTCTTCCTTCTTTCGTTTATATGCGTTATTTGTCTCACTATATCCGACGTTCGTTATCTACACTCAGATTTGTAAAGGACTCGTAAAAACTTCCGGTAATAACGAACGATTTTCCTGTACAACTTCCCGATGACAGGAAGTGGTGGAAGTCACGTGATAAAGAGGGAACGGCTGGCTTCCGAGCTACTATGTAGTTATTAGTGCTTTGCTATAAATATCTCGAAGAGGATATATATTAATGTAATATGTTTTCGTTTCTGTAAAAAAAAAACTATTGTCTTTCTGGTATATTAGATAAGTAGTCATTAAATCTGCCACGGTGGTCTAGCGGTTAGAACGCTGGCATAAATAAATAATAGGGTAGGTTAGGTTAGGTTAGAACGCTGGCCTTGTAATCCTGGGGGGGTCTCGGGTTCGATTCCCGGCGGTGCCCGAATTTATAACTTGTGTTGGGCAAGGCCGTGGTCTAGGCAACACGGAGTTTTCCTCCGTGGCATCCCAACAATTACTCCATGCACACACAGAAGAAGGCAATGGCAAACCACTTCTCGATCATCTGCCAAGAAC